GTCAATCACAGGCTCAGCAAGTTCCCACAGGCACACCCCTTGGCAGCAGGAGCCTGTGGTCAGCAGAAACTCATACTTCATCCACACTTGGAAACCTAGAGAGAGAAGTAAAGCCAGAGTATCCAAACTCAAACTCCACCCTATCCCCAGTGATGGACTTCTTCTAGCAAATCTGCCCCTCCTAAAGGTCCCAACACCTCCCACAAACAGCGCCAACACCTGGGAACCAAGTGTTCAAACACGTGAGCCTGTGGGGCCATTTCTCACTCAAATTACCACAGCTCATAAGATGCCGTGTGTGTCCTGGGCTGTGCAAAGATACAGAAGAAACATTCCCCAACAGCGGCAGCTTGTGCTCCCACACAGCTTGGAATGCTCTAGAAACATCCCTCAGACCGTCCCTCAAGTTCACACGTGCATTGCGAGAGAGACCTGTTGAATGACACCGATTCCCTTCCATAACTCCCCTAACACATCTGCATGGGGACCAGGGGAACTGCTCACAACTCACAGCTATAATGGTTCTTTCTCTCTGGCCATGATTCCTGTGATGTCACAGAGGCTGTCTGGAAGCCCCACCGCTGCTAGTCCACCATCTAGCCCACCCCATGCCGTGTTCTCCTGGCTGATTTCGCCCTTCCTGGGCACCCAGAGTCTTCCACTCCCCCATTATCATCCCCTTGGACTTTTTCTTTCAGCTCTGTGCTGTTCTGCCCACTCCCCATCTTTCCATGGTGCATGCAGCCAGCAGCTATGGCCTCAAATGAAGCAGTGCCACCAAGACCACCTTCTCGTCACATTTCCAGGGAGGCCTAGCTCCCTTTGCTTGTTTGTTAAGTCGCTAAAGCCGTGCGAGCATCTAGACTTTCCAGCCACCAACCATAGCACTCAGTGATCCACACAATGACTCTTGCAAACACCTGCCTTCCATCTCCGCCTTTCTTCCTGTCTCCCTCCAATCTCTACTGCTTCCCTGTCTGGTAACTCTGCTGTCTTCTCAGAGGCATTGTGTATTCCTGGCTATGAAACCGGGGGGGGAGGGGGGGACTTCATAAGAGAGCCAAAGGATAAAGGCAATCACATCCCTGTGATTCTTCTTGATCCTAGACAGATGCAGGGTCACAATGTTCAGGACCTGGGTTCTTGACTTCTGTATTGCCCCCCCCCCACCACAGGAGAGGCAAAGATGTAAGAGGGGGTCATGCCTACTGCTTAAAACCTTGGTCCTGAAGTCACGTCCCACTCCAAATGGGGCCATGACCCCATTACTGAGGCCACCTCGACACCAGGCAGCAGGCCTCTGTGGAGCAGGAGCAGTAGAAATGAAGCCAAGGCGGCGTGGACTAGCAACAAGGCGAAGCTTCTTTATTGGGACCTCTGCTGGAACTGTCTGACTCAACCCAGAGGGAGGCAACACCGAGCAGAGGTGACCAGACACTCAACACAGGGCCCAGCAAGCCTTCATTGACCTGAGGGTGAGGCACCCAATGTTAGGTCCTTATCAGTGAATTATGGACGTCATCTTAAACGTTTTTTTTCCTCTGACATATGAACATCTTAGCATCGTAATTGATGGGCTCTGAGTTATAGCCTCAGTCCTGACATTTCCCAGATGACCAGGAGATCTGTCTGATTGGAGGACACAGAATGACGTAATAGAGAATTCAACCTCGTATCCTCCTTTAGCTTTCCTTCAGGTGTCTGCAGCATCTAGTGGGGCTTTGTTTCCTGAGACAACACAGAGGCAACTCTGTCTATCATCCAGTCACAGAGGTGCTATCAAAATGAGCGGGACTACGTACCACCCCTCCCAGCGAGTGGGGTTTAAGTTAGCCACAAGCAAGGGAACCTACTGGATGAATTTGGCTCTTCGCTCATTAGCTGTTGCTCCTTGTGTTTGTCAGTCATGTTTATTAGCTCTCTCAAATCCCACGTTTGAGCTCTGTCTAGCTGTAAGGGGCTCCTGCTCTGTAAACACTCCAGTCTGTGCTCTGGTGTTTATGACAAGGTACTGAAAGCACAGGAAGGGATCAGAGGAAAAGGACACTGAGCTTCCAGCAGGGGTGATGGGTAACACAGTCAACTTGACAGGATCTAGAACCAGTTAGGAAACAAGCCTCTGGGGTTTCTGGACTTGGTTAATTGGGGTAGAAACACCCACTCTATATCTGGGCCACACCATCTCATGGGTTCGGGTCATATAAGAAAGCAGCTGACGTGAAACTCCATAAGACGGAGAACGGAACTGGTGTGAGCGTTCATCTTCCTGTTCCCTGATGACAGTGCAATCAGCTGCCACCAGCTCCTGCCGCCATGAAGGACTGCCCACTCAAACTGCAAGCCAAGGAAACCCTTCCTCTCCTGAGCCGCTTTTGGGAGTTATTTTGCCACAGCAGTGAGAAAAATGGTTAAAACAAGTGATTACAAAGGCATCAAGCTGGGGATCAGAGTTTGTCTGCTGTTGGTCATCTCTACCCTTCTGAGCCCTGAATTCCAGAGGACGAAAATGTGGACCTCACCCCAAGGAGTCAGCCGACAACCTCAGAGGGTCATCAACTCCTCAGCCTTTCAGAGAGGTCCCTCAGTTCATGATAGACACCTGCAGCTGCAGCACAGCCACCAAGTCAAAAACTGGAGGAAAGCGCTTCCCCTGGGGCTCTCTTCCTTCCTCAGGGTAGCAAGGTATAAAATACCCAGGAGGCTGTTGAGCGGTAGCGGATGTACAAACCCTCTCCTTCCACTTCCCGGACGGCCATGGTTTGATCTCATTAGTCATCCAGATGGATCCTATTTAGAGGCCACTGAGGAAAGAGGAGAAAAAGAGCTCAGGGGAAACCACCCAGGAACAAAAGCACGCTCCTACACAAAGGCTTTCTCAGGGGGTGGGGGTAGGACCCCACCCACATATCTCATCCACCTGTGGCCCCTCCCTACTTCTCCATTCCAGCCCCTGCATCAATTCTGATGGGGGCAGCAAATTTTCTTGCTTACCAATCGAAGGCTCATCGAAGCCAACGATCTAAAGGACAAGGCTATCCAATCGCACAGTAGGCTCTATAGATCGGGTGCTTCCTTGAGTACAAACCGAGAAACAGAAGCATGCAATTGATTTTAAAGGTGACTCACCAGCCACAAGCAAGGCTGATTCATAAGTTAAGAGGGTACCAAGTCCCAGCCCTGGCTGTTTTCTTATTTTAATGAGTGATGGTTTGTCCCTAGACCTCACTTCCCCTTGAACAAAGAGGAAAACTCAGCCCCCCACCCCAGCAACTGCCTAGCTCAACTGAAGGACCAGCGTGAAAGCCTGGGGGAAGAAAGAACTCATAAAACTTTCAGCAGGTCTGAAGTCACTGGCTAAACAAGTCTCCGCAGATCCCGGTTTCTATGCATTTAATAGCAGAGCCCCTGCTAAAATTCCCTCTGCGCTCAGCAGCTCAGGGAACTTTCCTAATGCGTTGCTAACTGGTACATTCTTCACAAAGGCCGTCAGGAAGAAAGAACTCCACATGCCACGGTACAGATGCTCAAGGCTGGAGCAGAAAGCGAACCGAATGTGTGACCACGTGGAGAGAGAACACTTCTCCACGCTTCCTTTCTAACCTTGACGCCCAGTCAACCGTGAAAGGAGAAGGCATGCACCCTTCCCAGGAAAGTGGGTTAAGCCCTAAAATTTGAGCAGTACTTTAAAGGACTTGTTCAGAATTCTCACCCTAAATACCAAGAGTAATAAAGAGGTCGTTTATTACACCAGGATGTTTGATGACATGCCACGTAGGTCCCTGTTACCAGTGAGATTTCATTTCCCCTTGTGACAACCCCATGAGTTGGTCCAATGGGCATTTTGTGAATGGAGGAACTGAAGGTGTGAATTTGGATCATGTATGTGCCAGTTCAAGCTGCTGGAACAGACAGTAGATATTCATTGTCTTTCCGTTCTGCTTTGGAGGCTGGAAGCCGAGGCTCAAGTTGTCTGCAAGGATGGTTTCTGGAGATATCTCTGTCTCTCTACCGCTCTCTGTCTCTGTCTCTCCCTCTCCCTCTCTGTCTCTCTGTCTCTCTCTCTCTCAGATGGTGTCTTTCACTCTACATGGCCTTCCACTGGCTAGTGTGTACCCTGTGTCTCATCTAAAGACAGGAGTTGTATGAGATTAGACCCTGCTCACCCTGCAACCGCCTCCTTCAAGTCCTATATTTGTAACTTTTCTCATTGCTGTGGCAGAGAACACTGGAGAAAGGCAACTTCGGGAAGGAAGGTTGTTTGGGCTCCAAGTTTGAAGGCATGATGGCAGGAGAGTGCAGTGGTTGGTGACGCTAAACTTGCATCCCCCTCAGGAAGCAGAGGAAGACAAATGCTGACATTTGTTTGCTTTCTCCTTTTTCCTTCTGATTCAGTATGGGTCTCATTCCGTGAGAATGGTGCCCACGTTCAGGGCAGATCTCTGCTCCTCTGTTGAATCTTTCTGGAAACGTCCTTAGAGATATAACCAGAGATGTGTTTCCATGGTAATTCTAAATCTAACCAAACTGACCAGATTAACTATCAGAAGCGTCAATCCCTAAAGACAGTCGTACTGGAGGTTCAGGCTTCACCCGTGTCTGGGGATATCACCATTCAGTTTACAGCAGCAGTGAACATCCATACTGGTGAGTGACAGAGCCAGGGCTGTCTGAATCCTGAGCCACCGCCTCTCGAGACATGCCACCAGGGAGCGGGTGCAGTAGAAGCTGCTAGCAGGGGCCCAATGTCACAGCACTGAGATTCACCCTGGTGTGCTGGGTGGCAAAGTCCCAGCCCGTGCTAGATCTCGGGACCCAGAAGTGTAAATCAACCAACAACCTGTCCAGATGGGGCTGAGTGAAAACGGCTTTGTTAACCTGGGTCCTAAGTGCAAAAGTGGTATTTGGGTTTCCTGCCATAGGTAGTGTGTGAGTCTATCAGCTAAAAATAAAATAAAACAGCCTTTCATTTGAACTCTCTTCTCTTTTCTTCAAACTGCCAGCGAATGTCCTGGAAGGTGATTCCATGGACCAGGATGTGGAGAGCCCGGTGGCCATTCATCAGCCAAAGTTGCCTAAGCAGGCCAGGGACGACCTGCCAAGACACATCAGCCGAGACAGGACCAAAAGGAAAATCCAGAGGTATGTGAGGAAGGACGGAAAGTGTAACGTCCACCATGGCAACGTGAGGGAGACCTATCGATACCTGACGGACATCTTCACCACCCTCGTGGACCTCAAGTGGAGATTCAACCTGTTGATCTTCGTCATGGTCTACACAGTGACATGGCTCTTCTTTGGAATGATCTGGTGGCTAATTGCATACATCCGGGGAGATATGGACCACATAGAGGACCCCTCATGGACTCCCTGCGTCACCAACCTCAACGGGTTTGTCTCTGCTTTTTTGTTCTCAATAGAGACAGAAACCACCATCGGTTATGGCTACCGGGTCATCACGGACAAGTGCCCCGAGGGAATTATCCTCCTCTTAATCCAGTCCGTGTTGGGGTCCATCGTCAATGCATTCATGGTAGGATGCATGTTTGTGAAAATATCCCAACCCAAGAAGAGGGCAGAGACCCTGGTCTTCTCCACGCACGCAGTGATCTCCATGCGGGATGGGAAGCTCTGCCTGATGTTCCGGGTAGGGGACCTGAGGAATTCCCACATCGTGGAGGCTTCCATCCGAGCCAAGCTGATCAAGTCCAAACAGACTTCAGAGGGGGAGTTCATCCCCCTCAACCAGACGGACATCAACGTGGGGTACTACACCGGGGATGACCGTCTCTTTCTGGTGTCGCCTTTGATTATTAGCCATGAGATTAACCAGCAGAGTCCCTTCTGGGAGATCTCCAAAGCACAGCTCCCGAAAGAGGAACTGGAGATTGTGGTCATCCTGGAGGGAATGGTGGAAGCCACAGGTAAGACACGCCCCATCCTGTCAGAAGTGCATTCCGCTGAAACTCTCTGGCGGAAAATGCCGTACCTATGCGTCCTGTAGCCGTAAGTATGCGCTCGGACACGTTTAGCCATTTCAATTTTCAGCTTTCTTAATTTTACAATATGTTTCTTTCATTTTTTGTGTATATGAATGTTTTGCCTGCATGTATGTATGTGTACCATGTACATGCATGGTGCCCATGGAGGCCAGAAGAGGGCGCCAAATTCCCTATAACTAGAGTTAAAAACCGTTGTGAGGCACCATGTGGTTGCTGGGAAACTGAGGCAAAGTCCTCTGCAAGAGGTGGCCTAGCTCTAAGCTGCTAGGCCACCTCTCTACCCACACTTACCTTTATAAAAGCCATTCAGTAAGCGAAATAATGATTTCTTAAATTTCCAAATACTCAAAGAAATTAGATTTTGATCTGTGTTCAATGCTCATTTTGAATGATTTTAAAGTGTTTCTCATTTAAATATTTGTAGCTATTTGTTAGCAGGTCAAACAGTAAGAGTTAGACCTTTCAAAAAAAAAGTGAGAAAAATGACTTAACATAACTGCTAATTTTGCCCCTTCTTTGGCTCTTGTTCATAAAACCCATAGGATTGTTCGTTTCTCCCCTTGTGTTAGGTATCTCTCCACACTTGACCCGCCCAGCCCTCAGCAGACATCACACTAAGAACTAAAGACTTGTTCGTGGTAACGCTGCAGACCTTTGGCGGTCAGCACTGGTCACGAATCTGTGGGAAGAGAGCCTGTTCTCAGGGTTCAGGAAACTAGGCTTCCGCTGGTCTTTGCTCACACCTAAGTTACACGCATGCTCCACATTCTGGGAGCCAAGTGGTTCTGCCCATATTCACTGATGGTGTGCACAAGTCAAAAGTCCTGAGCAGAGCTGCAGACCTCCCAGAAAGTGTATAAATCCAATCCCGTTCACCAACTCTGCAGAGTTGAGTCCTTGCTACACAGCCCAGGTCTTCCCAACACACACACACGCACACAAACCGTCCTGTGTTTGAAAGCTTCCAGCCTCAAACTCTACGTTGTCTGTTGTCACGGGAAAATGTATAGTCTGTGAGCTGCCCCAAGTCTTCATTAACCTGGGATTCTTTTCCAAAGGAAAATCTCTTGTCCCTTGCTTCTGTCTCCCCATCTCCCTGCACCAACAGGAGGCAAAGTCACGATTCCTACCAAAAAGTTCTTATGGGGGAGACAGAAATTTTCCAATAAGTTTTTAAATTTCGGCAAACTGAAAATGTGGAGTCTCTGTGGTCCAGCGCGCCCCTTCCCACAGAACAAGAGGATTTTAAAGAATAACAAAATACACTTGGCTCTCTGCATCTAAGGAGCCCGTATGCATGAGTTCCACCCACCATGGTGGGGCTCTAGCATTTAGTATCGAATGTTTTCCTGATTCTTGCCATCATTTACTAAATAATACAGTACAAATGTTTACATGATAGTTATGTCATATTAGGTATTATAGGCAATCCAAGACGATCTAAACCATGTGGGTGAATGTCATGTCTATGAAGACAGCTGTTCTGTAAGAGTTGTCACGTCTATGAAGACACAGCTGTTCTGTAAGAGGGACTTGAGCATTTGAAGACCTGGGTATCTTTGGGGAGTCCTGGGATCATGCCCTCTGAATATGAGAGACAGCTTTGTGTTTCTCTCGCATCCCTGGAGCCAGGCACGGGCCTCTAAGTCTGGTGTGCAAAAAGGAGTGAGAAATTGACTCTCTCGGGGGAGCGTCTCCAGCCAGCACCGGGATGGGAAAGACTGTTGCTTACTTCTGAGTCACAAGTCCTTGGGTCCTAAAAGACGTGGGTCTGTATTTTGAACCGGAACATTGGCTGGAACTGGCTGTTGTGAAATTCTAAATAGAAACTGCAGATAGCAACAGGGCTATCGGCACCTTGGGCCTGAGGTTTTTATTTCTCCTGAGGTAGCCATTGATTGGAACAGAGGGGAGAGAGAGAGGAGAAAAGGGAGGAGGGAGCGAGGGAGGGGAAGAAAAGAAAGAAGACAAGAGAAGGAAGGAAGGGGAGGAGAGGAGAGAGGGAAGAGGAAAGGGGACGGAACAAGGACAGTGAGTACAGAAATGAGAGGGGCCGTGCCCCTTGAATAGGGAACCTCTGCACCCTGGCAGAGCACAGGGACTTAGAACCCCCCAGTGGTGTCTGCAGTCACAGACGCGCACAGCATGTGCTGACCATCCCAGAGGTCCCCTGCCCCTGGGCAGACTTGAGGACGGTCCATCGGGGAATCTTCCTATTCCTGGACTGTGCACACAGCAATCCAAGCCTCTGGCTCCCGATGCTAGCCCCGTCTCCAACAACAGCCGCCGAGCTCTGCATACACTCCCTCCCAGCCAAGCCCAGTCTCAAAATATAAATGAATCCGAGCAAGAAAATCATTTCTGCACTGTCCCCAGGGCAGACCTTGTCTTCCTGATGACAGTGTGTATGGAACAAGACTATCTGGGCGGGGGGGGGGGGGGGGGGGGGGGGGGGGGGGGGGGGGGGGGGGGGGGGGGGGGACATCCTTCTTATGATAATGAACCGCGATAGCGGCCTAGGAGCGTCCTGGCCTCTCTGAGAGTTCTCAACCACACCTGGGTAGTTGCCAGAAGAAAGAACAAACTCTCTACCATTCCTGAGAAAACACAACACTGTGGATTCTCTTTTGTAGTATCCATTTTAATATACCATATATAATTAAAATATATTATATAATATATTGTGAATATATTTTATAATAAATTATTTTTATATAGTAAATATATTGTGAATAAAATATTGTAAATATATTATATGATAGATTGCTATATATACATATATATATACACACAGCTTCTGGTTACTAGAGGAAGGGTTTTCTAGAACATTCTGGAGGTGTCCAGAAGCTGGAGATACATGTCTTGGTCCTGTCCACATGGGTTTTATACAGCTCAGTACCACCCACCACCCTCCCGCCCAAGAAATGAGTTCTTAAACTTCAACAGGACACCTTCTTTGGAAATTAAGATCACAGCTGGGAAAAATTTAAGGAAAGGAAAAACGTTTCAACGTTTCAAAGCCACAGAAAGAGAAAAAGGGGCAAACTGGAGGAAAACAGATCGAGAAGGACCCGATTATTCCCTGGAGTGCAGGGCTGGAAGTCGAAAGCTGGAGCAACTACTCTCAGAATTGTCCCCGCTGGGTCAGGGAGGCCCAGTGGTTAGGAGAACTGACGGCTCCTCTGGCTCTTCCGTAGGACCCAAGTTCAATTCCTGACACCCACACAGTGGCTCACAGCCACCTGTAACTTCAGTTGCAGGGGATCTGATGCAGGGGATGAAGTGTATGTCCCGTTTGCGGCAGAACACACCACGTCACTTCTTCTCTGTGCCTGGACCATCAGCACGCCCTTTCATAATGTGCACCACAGGTTCCCGGTGACCCTGACAGTCATGTATTCTGGACCATCAGCACCCCATTTCCATAATGACGCTAATAGGTTCCTGGTGACCCTGACAGTAGTGTATTCTAGACCATCAGCACGCCCTTTCATAATGTGCACGAACAGTGATGATTTTGTGGGAACTTCATGTTCCAGCTGTACTACAACCCCAATTCCATCTCAGAAAACGAAACCAAGGGTCCTGGGTTGTCGCCCACATGGCTATCATACTAGAGGCTCTGGGCTGTCCCCCCAGCAACACATAAAACCACACACCCGTAACCCCAACACTCCTACAGTGAAGGCAGAGAGATCAGACGTTCAAGGTCATCCACAGCGACACAGCAGACTCCAGGCCAACATGGGACACGGAGAACCTGTCTTTAGAGTCAGGGACTGAAAGAAAGCCCTTCGGAGGCAGGAGGCAAACCTTGTCTATCCTCGGTGCCTTGAAGGGATCCCATCAGTCAGACTGACACCATAAAGGACAGGAACACATTCTCCAAGGACTGTTTTGTCCTGGCCCTGCCTCAGTCAGAGGGGTGGCTGTGGTGACCTCTCGGGAACCTTCCAGTCATGTGATTCTATTTTTGAACATAAATCAAACCCTGGAAAATTCTGGCTTCAGCCACCCAGACACCCCAGAGCTGGCTCTATGTCATCTGCAAATATATTTTTGAAGGGGCCTTTATGTCCCCGACACATGGGCAATTTTGAGGTAGTGGTGTTTACAGAAGGTTTCTTAGCTACGTAAACAAACACGCTCAGCAGCTGTGGCAAAGATGCGTTAAAATAGTAGCGCATTCATCCAGACTGATATTTATAGAGGGCACATGGGCCTCGCAGCTAGATGACAGCCACCCAGCACCGGGCCCTGGGCCAACCAATGCCGCACTGGAGCCTTTCTGATTGAACTTCCATATTTACCCCCAGCCATTATGCAGGCAGCCTGCCCCAGCCCCGCGTGTGCGCCTCGGTGCCCCCCACCCCCAACTGTGTGTGCCTCGGTGCCCCCACCCCCGAGCGTGTGCCTCGGTGGCACAAGCATCCACTAAGCCTCTCTGGGTTTCGGCTTTACACTTTTTATTCTGAAAACCATACAACTGTTAGAGAAAAGAGACCAAACAATATCATGACTCCCTGGGTATATGTCATTTGGTTGTGATAATTGCCAATTCAGAACTGAACATGCTTTGTTTGCGTTGTCAGATTCACCAGCATTGCAGGATTTTAACTATAAATGTCTTAATCCTTTCTTACAAAGGATAAGGACTTTATTTTTCAAAAATAAAACGCATTGTGGTTTCGTTGACTGATTGATGATTGATTGGGCTAGGCAGTGTGTGTGCAACCGCACAGGTGTAGAATCAGAGAACAATTTATGTGCAATCGTTCTTTCTCTCCGCTGTGTAGGTCCCAGAGTACAGGAGTCAGGTTATCAGCTTCAGTAGCAGACACCTTTCCCACTAAGCGAATTCTCGGCCACAGGACTCTTTTTTTAATAAAACCTTGAGCGTGAGGGGCACGGCCCCGGGCGAT